AAGGTGACCATTCTGAGCCGCAGTATAGATAGCAGTGGCACCACTCTGGGGGCATGCTCTATTGAGGTCTGCCCATGCAGACGAGAGTAGCTTCACACTCTTCAGCGCCCCACTTCCCGCGGCCGCTATCAACGCTGTCCCGCCATGGGAATCCACCAAGTCTGGGTTTTGAGGTCGCCGAAGCAAGGCCTCAACCGCAGCGGTGTCGTTCTCTTGGCTGGCATGTGAGAGCCGGTCATCGTCTGCATCACACTCGACGAAGTCGCAGACAATTACCTTCAACTCGAGCGGCAGCTTCAAAGCCGTGTCTGGGTCCACTACGATGTCTCCGCAGAGGAGCTTCAGTCGAAAGCAAGGCTGGGCGACAATAGGGGACAAGAGCTGCTCAATGCCCCTGAGAACACTGCCATGTACATCAGCCACAGCGGCGGCTTTCTCTTCAGTTGCTGTCAGGAGCTCCCGTCCGGAAAGGTGTCGAACGCAAACCATGCCTTCTAAAAAAAGAGGAAGCAATCCCCTGCCCGATACTCACAACATGAATCATGAACCGGATGCCTGGCCTCTGAGTGTGTAAGTGTCTTCCCTACCCGCTGACTGCACTCCCTACGGTGAACTCCAAACACGTTAGAGCGTGGATTGAGCCTGAATTGTGCAGGGATTCCCTGTACCCTACGAAGAACCCCATCAGCATCAATCTTGAGATTCTCGATGCTTCACCATCTAGTGCTTTTGGGGTGTGGGTCAGGGGTTTAGGTTATGGCTTGAGGCTTTGGCATTCAAGTTTGGGGCACGAGTTTAGGATTGTTGCCTTTGTGCGTATAATCCACTGCAAAAGCCCAGCCCAGAATCCCAAACACGCTTGAGCAGAGGCCTCCTTGACAGGTTCATCCTTGAGAGACCTTTTGGCTCCTTTGGGTTCATTCTCTCATGGTTGAGAATAACAGGGCCCATGATTTCGGATTTCTGAAAACCAGATTTTAACCTTGGGAAAACCGAGGCCCGGCATTTCAGAAATCTGAATGTCAAACAAAAGCTAGCAACCCTGTTTTAACCTGCGGCACTACAGCACACGCCCTGGAGCAGACCATGAGGGCTAAACTTCTACATAAGAGTGGGGGGTTGGAGTATACGGTATCAAACCTTTGTAAGGTATTAGGGTAGATAGGGACTACAACCGACTCCTCGTACCAACTACTCAGACTTTTAACATCTTTCGTAACACCCTGTTAATCCCATCGAACATCCATACGAGCCCTTCAACAGCATCTACATAGCCGCATAGCCGCTGATAAGACATGTAAACATCCCATAAGCCACCATAGGCCTTGAAAACCCCTGCACTCTAATCCTCTAAAGTCGATTCCAAATCAGCCCCTGCTGCCTTCCAGGCAGGTGAGATTCGCATCTGGCTCGTATGATCCCGCACACGAAGAGGTGCAACTGAACGTCACTGCTCGAGGACTCTAGGATTCACGACGTAGGGTCGAGGATCTGGGATCAGGGGTTTTAGGATCAGGAATTCGGATCAAGTCTCGTGGGATTTTGGATATAGCACTTAGGAACCAGGATACAGTCGCAGAGTAAGGGCTTGCGGCCAGCTCTTGATCCAAGTTCCCCATAGTTAGGTACCTTGGAAGTTTAAGATAATGAATCCAGCTAGCGCAGGGTCAATATTGAAGGCGTGCAAGATGAAAGTTGGTACCACTGTCAGCATTACCAATGTTAATGTCATTGTATCTATCGCTGCTGTGATCATTATGGCTACTATCGCAAATGCTACTAAACAGTGTGATGTAGAACCTTACTCTTACGATCTTTTAACTACGTTCCACCATTGTGATCAAGCGTGTGCCACACATCAGTCATGCAGAAAACATATATTCAAAGTGGCAGGTGAGAATATCCGAGTTCTCGGGCAGTGGCACATATGGGGGCTTAGAGTCCGTTGCTGTACATTATACTACGGTATATAGAACATGAGTGTATAGGACCATAGGGAATTCCAAGGGCATGTACCTCTAACTAGTCCAACCCTCGGGCAACACAAAAACCCTACCATCATCCCTGAAACACTGTAAGGCCCTATACCCTGAACGCCTGAACCCTAAAACCCGACTGCCTAAACCCCTCAGATCAAAACCCAAGACCCCAAAACCCTCCAACCCTGGTGCCCTAAGGAAAAGATGGCTTCCCTCAGCCCTATAAACCCGCCACTGCCTAAACCTCCAAACCAGTACCCTAAGGCTCTAAGGACTCATATCTTAAAACTTTTGGGCCCGAAGACCATACTACATAAGGCTTTTGGGCAATTACTACATAAGGCTTTTGGGCTATTTTGAGCCTTATAAGTTACAGAGACACCGAGCCGTGCCTTGACCCTGAGGCGACCAGAAGGCCCTCCGCGCAGGGCGGCTGTGCGGCATGTTCCTCGGCGTTCCGCGTGGATTTTCCCAAGGGGGCAAGTATATGCAAGCATTTGTGTTTTAGGAACCAAGAACCCTTCAGAATTTTCCTTAACCGTCAGGGTCCAAGTACCCTAATGTTATAGTTTTAGGTGCCAAAACCCATAGCGCTGTATCTTGGGATCGAGAACTCTGCTGTTTGGGGACTTCGACACATTGGGTTTAGTTGCGAGTAAGATCTTTCGATGGCGTCAGAGAAGTTTCCATCCTTTGTTTGTTTTACGAGCGGCTCTCAATATCATAGACTTGTGAACGAGTTCACCGTAAGGCTGGGCGAGGGCGTTCTATAGGGCTGTTCTGAGTGCTTGTCATGCAGCTTGGCTTATGTTGTCGCAGCAGGGGCACAAGTATGTTGCAAAGAACATGCGTCCTTGTTACGGTAGATGAAACAAGCAGAAGTGCTGTTGACAAGATCCCGAAACCCTACAACTGGTGTCGCGCTCGAAGTTCAAGGTTGTTCCTTACTCGGAGGCTCAGGGAACTTGATAAGTAGGCTGCTGGTGTGATCACCGCCAGCATGCTCTCAACTAGGATACACTAAACCCTAAATCCCTAAACCCTAAAGTTATAAATAACCTCAAATATTCAGGCCCCTATCCTAGCTCATGAGGCTCCAAGCGAGTTAATGATTATATAGGGCCTCAAAAAATAGAGCAGGGTTTTGGAGTATGTTATACTAGACTTAGGTTAGGGAAACCACCACGATAGTATAGTTAATTGTTCAGGCCTCCATATTCATACCTCTTGAAAAATTCAGATCAAGTTATCACAACAGGGAAAGCATGTGCTTACCACATCTCCGGAAATATCCTGGTGGCTTGAACCTAGGTTGTCAATGACAATCCGTAATCCGAAGTCCCATACGACACCCCCTGAAAACCTCAACTAGAACGCTCGCAAGCGCTAGTAGAACCGTACATGACCCTGTCAAAACCCTTAGTTGAGATCCTTGCAATGCCTGATACAACCACAACCCTTGTAAAAAAGCAGCCTTAAACACTTGAAGACCTATTCAGCCCGTATACAAAAAACACAGTGTGTGTGTGTGTGTGTGTGTGTTTTCTTGAGCGGCACTTGAAGCCAATAAACCCTAAACCCTGAAGCCCGAAATCGAACCCTAAGCCTGAACTACTCTAGCCCGAATAAGCTTAATTTTGCCAGTTTCAGGGCAGCCGTTAGCTTTGCAACGAGACGCCACGCCCCATGGCGCACGACACGGCGCTGGTTGGCAGCTGAAACGAGGTGGCGTAAGCACACCGTCGGCGCAATGCCTCATGCAGGGCTTGGGGTCAGAGTTCATGGCTTGGGCTTGTCTTTTCATCACCTTGTTCCGCCCACTCCTTTCTGTCAGGGTTCGGGGTTTAGGTTTGGAAATCTGGAGTAGAGCTTAGAGTTCGTCCATTCCACAAGAAAGCTTCAGAATACGCATCCGAATGCAGTTGCCCGGTGAACACAAGGAACACATCCATCAGGAAACTAGCATCCCCAAGGAGATTGGAACATGCCGTGGTGCAAGGGCGCGTAGCTGTTCTTTAATGAGTACGACAAGCTAGTTCTTGTGATGGTGTAGTTGCAGTGATAGGTCGCGATCAGGCCGTCGATCCTGGAACCCGAAACTCTCCGCCCCCCGGCCCCCGACGGCGCTCCGACGCCGTAATCCAGATGCCCAGTTGCAGAGTCGAAAAAGTAGGGACAAAGCCGGCTGCACAGACCGGAGTGCAATGGTCCAGGTTTACCTCCTGGTCGACACAACAGCTTGGTCAGGTTATAGCATTGTTGACTTAGGGTCTGTTAGCTTTCGGATTTAAGGGCTGAGGCAGACTGTAGCGTTTATGGTTTAGGACGCCCTGAACCCGAAGAGTCAACCACATGCTTTTGGGTTTTGGTTTTGGGATTCGGGGTTGTGCCGCAAGCCTGGAATGCTTGTAAGCCCAATCAATTGAGAGTAACATGTGACTCACGGTTTACGGTCTTACGGGACGGGGATGAGATCCTACTATAAGCCACTTTTCTGATGCTTACGAAGATGCGAATTTTCATTTCGGTACGGAGTTGAAGCCTACATAGGTTAGAACTTCTCATTTCACAGCTTTGGCAGTTGCGGCATAAGGCAAAGGGAAACCTCCGACTGGAGACAGTTACGGCAGCTACGTGGCTTTGCGTAGCACTGATCTCTAGACTCTGCATAAAGAGTCCTAAATCCTGAAACCCCAGACGATGAAACTCGGAACCCTGTGAAGCGACAGTCCTCACCCTCGGAGCATGAAGGTGAGGCCGCATTGGCTACATTTTGCCTCCGGAGGGATGGCTGCTTCTGCTTCAACCGGGGCCATATAGGAATTGAAACTTGGGGTCTGCGCATCATAGCCAAAGAAAGGAACCCTAAGGACTGCCAACTAATTCAGGCTTCTACGTTACCGTCTATCATAGCCTACATGCCCAAGATGCGATCATAAGCACCCTATGAAAGGGTGCCACGGGCGTCCTGGATTGGGTTAGCAGGCGCGGCATAGCCGAGCCCCTAGATGCTAAGCCTTAAAACCTCAACAGGATTGTACCCCAAGTGCTCGATCAGGGATGAACAACCGGCACCACTATCGTCTACGTAGGCTTGCCCTTGGATTCAATCCCCTTATCGGACCTCTACACACAACGATATCGTCATAATGCACGTGGTTTGGCAAAGCTCAAAGAAGATCCAATATTCCGACCTAGTTCAGAATGGCCTGAATCCTGGAATCACTAGAAGTATGATTCTACGGGCTTCTATTGGGATACAGTATGCCTGAATAGGTACAACTACGTAGCCATTCATTAGTCATGAGACTAGGAAGGTGGGGTACATTCTCGTATAGTTCTTACAGAAAGTTATTGCGGATGAAAATGAGCCCTGAGGTCGCAACGGGGCTGCGCAGGGGCCAATCTCAAGGTGGTACCGGTAGATGACCTTCGCGCAATGAAGGTTTGCGGCCTAGGGTTTAGAGGGTTTAGAGCTTACGAGAAACACTATTTCCTGATTAGGAAGTTTGCACCGCCCTTAACCTCTAACCCCTAAATCTTCCATAGACGACCCTTCAAGGATGAACTGGAGAACAGGGTTCACAGTCCAGTGCGGGGTATTCCCGAGACACTTGTGTTTTGGAATCAGAGCCTACGAGTTTTCTTTGCTGTATCTTTACAGAGGTTCACAAGCAGTCTTGCATGGTTTAAATGCTCTGCAAGGGTTTTGTATGGGGGTTGGGGATGTTGGTGACCAGTGATTGGGACCTCGATCGGGTTATAATTTCAAGACCTGCTAGGGAATTGATCTTGTACAGTATTTTCGTCTTAGAATAGAGGAATCCCATTGAATGGGGTCGGCATTCATCCAGGCTCCTAGATTACAATCGCACTTTCTCTGAGGTGGCTCGCAACTACCAAGCGACCCAGACAGGGCTAAACAAACAATGCGACCATGAAGTGCAAGTCTTACCACCAGCTGTTTATCACTACTGCTACTATGTCTGTAACTACATATGCAGTACTATACGTAATTATAATAAGGAGCCCCCTAAAACAGTATAGGTAATTATTTAGGCCCCGATATAACCGACAATCACCAGCCGTTTGCAAGACCCCTTTGGGCATCCTCGGGGCACGGCGTATTCGGACGGCGAAGATGCATACAGGATCTGCCGGGAGGCATCCAACGTCAGACCTGGTGCTGCTTCAGGGTTCTGGCTTAAGGGTTTAGTTTAGGGATTCAGGGTTTGGGGATTTTGGGGTCTCGAGTCTACCCTCATTACCGGCAGCTTAGAAAGCCTTTGAAACCCTGAACACTACCCCCTAAACATCCCTAAACCCCAGAATTGGACTAAGCCCTACTTGTACTTGGGAATCACCAGAAGGTATGTTACTGTCAGAATAAGGCCCATAAAAGACCGCTTGATTACGAGGGGTAAGCCGACTGACCTCATTATATACAGTATTACAGGCCAGAATGATTATCAATAGGGCTTTTGGCTACATAATTCGCTATAGTTCAGGAAGACTCAGGAGTAGTATAACTGTGTCACTGTTCAGGCTTCTACATTACACCAGCTGATTGCGTGGGATTGTAGGTCTGGAAAATCGAAAAGTCCTAAATCTTAAGCCACCCTTCATCGTAACACGCTAGATCCTGACATGCGGAAAACCCCCCCCAAAACCCTACGGAAGCCCTAAGACGTGCAAATCGAAAAAGCCCACCCGAAACCTCCCCACTTCTAAACCCCAAATTCCCAAACCCTCCAAAAGCCCGTTGCTCTGGCATCGTAACGGCCGTGTTGCAGAGGATGTGGTTCGAGATTAGTGCAAGAAAGGCCTGGCTACGAAGCCCTGAACCATGAAGGTCACTTTCATGCCTACAAGTCCTACACCCCTATAGAGGGTTCAGGGTTCGGGGGTTTCGGGCTAAAGCCCCAAACAGCTAAACACTTTCCCTGCCCTGAAAGAAGTTTCGAACCTGGAACTATCCCAAACTATCCTTATGATCCAAGCGGCCGTAGAGCGAAAGGCTTTGCCCTGCCGATGGCACGGACTGCGGCAGCGTGCGGATGACACCTGCCCGGGCTCCGAAGCTTTAGTCGTTTTCGGGGTTCATAGAACTGGTTTAGGAATGCCTTCGGAGCTTCAGGGTTTAGTGTATTGTAGCAGTAAGCTGCCTTACATGGCTGTGGCTTCGGTCGCCAAGACGAAACCATCCAACCTGAACAATCCAAAGTTTCACTACGCACCGATCCTAAACCTAAAAATCATTTTTGCCGCAGTTCGGTAGATTCGGGAGCCTGCAGCGAACATCAAATCGTAGGAAATTCAGAACGAAGAACAAAGTCTCGAAAAAGCAAGACCCAATCTTCACAAAAGACAAAGAATGTACGATAAATGTACGAACAGAAGGGCTGCTTTGCCCGGAGGTTCAACGTACAGCTTTGTAGTTGTAACCTATATACTCAAAAACCTTGTCACTTCCAACTTCGTTATGCTCGTCCTGCGTACCTGGCCAGACGGTAGCCGAGGCAAAATGCTCTGGCCATTGCTTCGCAAACCTACCCTGGACTTAACCCTAAACCACTGAACCCTGGACTTCCGGAACGTGCCTCAAACTATATAGGAGCTTCCGAAAATTCGGGGTACCTTATTTTGGGGTCCTCATAACAAGGATCCTACTATTTAGGGTACTATCTTATATTAGGGTGCCCTTACTTGAGGTCTAGGCTTAGGCAGAAGTATCCCGCTTTTCAGCCTCCATGCCCGAAGGGCTCCATGTATATACTTATACAGGGCTCTCCAGGGGTTCCATATAGATGGGTACTCTAAGGTCCAACTATACTGCATAGGTACATGGAGCCTTAGGGTATTACACTCCGACGCCAAAGACTAAATGTTGCGAACCCCCCACCCCGCAGCCTGTTGACATGTTGACCTCTCGGATACGACCCGTGTCACTCTCGGCGATGTAGCTCACCTGGTGTTGCGGTTTTCTCTGCAATGGTCAAACCCGGACCTCCTCAAGCACCTAATTGAACTCTTATGGTCTTTAACAGTGGGTATCTAGTCGATGGAAAGGAACACTGGGGGTCTGTATCTTATCATTCAAGACCAACGCGGCAAACCGTGCACTTGTTTAGGCTGGGTTCACTTGGTCTGCATAGTTCTTGCAACACTGCGATGCCCGCACACCATTCGCTTTGCAACTCAGCCCAACTTTCTGTGAACCAATGTTGGAGCTTTCAAACACCACCCCACAAAAAAACAAAAACCGCGCCCCTAAGCCCCAAAACCCTACATCCTGCAAAGCCCAGACTCCAGGGTCTACAACCTGCGCTGGCAACCCTCCAACAACTGTGACACAATAACAACAATAACAACACCCCGCACAAAGCCGACGTACCCAAATCAAGCCCAACAAAGCCCTGACAAAATCCACAAGTACCGTGAGAAGCTCCACCTGCAGCCAATGAGCCTGCAAAATGGGTTTAGGGATTAGGGGTTTAGGGTTGATTCTAGCGGCCCCTGAACTATACATACGATGCCAGTTTCTCGACAGCAAGCAGCGGAACCTCACAAGCCCAACAAACAACTAACCGCTATAAGCTCTAAACCCTCCCCTCCCCCCTATAATATAGTATAGTATAAGATGGTAGATAGTATAGTATCAGATGATGTAGTAGGGTATAGTATAATCCTCTCGCCCCAAAAACGGTGCCTCCCCGGCCGCGACCATGGCCACCGGTCCAGCCAGGACCGAAAAGACCGCCGCTCCACCGTCCTTGGGGCTTTTAGGATCTCTTAAGGGCTTTGGGTCCAGAGGCCTTGCCATAAGCCGTATAAGGTCTTTCTTCTTCTTGTGTTTGGGCCCTAAACCCTAAACCATAACCCTAAACCCTAAACTGAAAAACCGTAAATGATTCGATTCGGTCCACACCTTTCGGTTACGTTGTGTGTGTGTTTTAATATTCGACACTTTATTGTCTGAGTGTTAGTTGTGGTCGCCGTGCCCGGAAGGTCCGTGGGTGCTTTGGGTTTAAGGGTTTCGGTTGTAGGGGTGTACATATTCAGATGGGCAATTGAGCTTTCTAGGGCTATCTACCATTCATTAACTGACAGTGTCGTTCGCATAGGGTCCGTAGTAGACCAGCGCTAAACACGTGCTTGAGGTTTTGGATAGTAGTATAACTGCTGGCTCATATTTTGAGAGTTTGAGATTGTAGATACCTGTTCTCTAAGAGTTTTAGAGTTCACGTGTTGGGTTGTCAAGCTATTATGGGATCTTCATGCTGAATATTTGGTTGGTATCTACTGGTTCCTCGGTTTGACGAAACGTACGACCTATAGAGGGTCCCTAAACCCACAACTCTCAACCCGACCTGTAGCCTCAACACCTGCGGCATCCTAGCGGTTTAGTCCACCTTGACAGGCTATAGTCCAGGACATGTTTGGATACGGGATTGGCGGGTATGCTTGGCTTGTTCGAGGGGTCCCGTCGTTATTGGCCGATACCCTCACTTTGCTGTAGGATTTCCAGGTCATGCCTGTCGCCCCGAATCCTACGAAGCAATATGTTTTCGCCAAATAATTAAAGACGGACCTTGGATGCACCGGCCCCAGGTATGCTTAGGACTTCTCTCCATCATGTGGCGTGGAATGCTTGAGGTTGGGTTCGGCTTCGGGGTAGGGACCTGGGTTGTGGCATGACCCCAACCCCAAGAACGCCGAACTTCAAGACTCTGAGCTTCGTGTGTCCTCAATGTTGAGGGACATGCTGATCTAAGTGGATTCAACAGTACGGCGAATTGCCAAAATCTCCAAAATGTGAGCCCAGTGGCCCCAGCACCTGGTGAAGCGACGAGGAAACCTTCGTTCCGCCTCATGAAATGGTAACGCTTCTTTGTTGCTTCTGGCGCTTCTTGGGGTTGTTCTCGTGTGTGGGTGCTGTGTTCTATCTTTGCTTTTTGGGGGATGGGATGTTGTTGGGTTTTCCTGTGAGGGATGTAGGCCCTATGTAGGCCTTGGTTTGTTCTGGGGGAGTGGTTGCTTTGCGGTTCTGAAGTATCCACCTCAGCGGGCGAAGGCGCTAACCTCTGAGTTGTAACAGGGGTTAGCAGTACATTGTGCAAATCCGGAAGCTACAGCTCATCCATTCAACTGCTGAACTCTAGTCTTCGTGGGTCAGCCGAGAGTTCAAGAGGCCTGTGTAGAGTTTTTGCGAAATTTTGGACATGCTCTACAGGGTTCCGTGGGTTCTACTATACAAGTTCTGCGGAATTTTCCGATAAAGCCCTGTGAAACTCTTCTGAAGCCTCTACACAAACCCCTCCAAAAGCCCAACAAAAACACGATGAACAAAAAGCCCTTTGAGATCGTGGTTTCAGCCTTCTACTCGGTGTTTGTCTGTATCCGAGCTGGTATTTCGTGGTTACTATAGAGCGCTTGTAGGCAGGAACTGTGTTGCTAGTTGAAGGTCCCTTGATATGGGCTTGAAACAGACAGAGGATCAATGATTAGACTGGGAGTAGAGGAGCCTTACAAACTAGAACAGGGTCTCGGAGATCGTTGAACGATAATCTAATTATGTAGGGAGGGGATGCAATACGTCGATTGAGGGGATCGTGCATCCAGATGACAGCAACGACCAAGGAACAAGCGGATAACATCTAAAACACAAAATGCGCCCCGCCCCCTCTTACAGTCTGAGAAACATCAGTAAGCCGTGCCGAACCCGAATCGACAATTGACAACACAACTTACTGACGATGTCCTTTCTGAGCGCGCTGGTAAAGCCAAAGACAACCGGGCTCGATGGTTTGGCGGAAATTAGGTATTCTTGACGACCCTTTGGGTTTATGGCTTCTTCAAATCAACGGGACGGAGACCATTGCGTTGCAAGTACCATGTAAGCATGGTCCATACCCGAATGATTGGTAAATAAAGAATCCCTCTGTGCGAGTAAAGCTCAAGGTCTTCCTGCCGGCACCCTGTTTCCTGTTCCCCGAGGCAAGGCAAAGGCCTGCCAGCAAAGTCCGTGGTGAGGCCCGATGTGAGGTTGGTCTGCCGAACTTGACCTCTTTTTCGCGCAAACTCCGGCAAGGTTACAGAAGTAGCAGGTACGTAGACTCTGGACTGCAGTACATGATTTTGGTGCCCAGAGGCTGGGATCCCACATCTAGCAATGAAAGGCAAGAACATAATGATGTTCCGGCTTGTAGCCACTTACTGTAGAGCTTCGGGCTTGGGGTGCAAGGCTTTCAGACTTGTGAAATGCTGCCTCAGGCCATCTTAAGCTCAAGACCTCTAAGTCTCGCAAGCCTTTTGAGGCCTTCAGGGACAATCGGATACTACCCCGATGGAAGCAATGCGCCCTATGGAGAATCCTCCAAAGTAGCTCGTCTTCGTGGTTCATGAAGTATACAGCTGGGATACTTGGCTAAAGAAAGCGGATACCCTAAACCGCAAAACCCGAAGATGTTGACCAAAAGAAGGAAGCCCCTAATCACCGGAAACCAGGAAAACCTAACAGAAACGCAGAGACGGCGGTGTCTCGAGGGGGTCTCCTTTGCGTGCAGTGGTCTGAATTCAAGCAGAGCGGTTTAGGAGCTTTGAGCAAGGGATTTAGGGTTTGGTCTATCAAGTTCTCGGGTCGGAGTGTGTCGGGATTCGGGATCACGTGTTTTGCCTGCCTCAACGGCTGAACGGAGAACCCCCTGATTAGTTTCAGGTCCTGGTAATTTTTGACACCACCCCATGTAAGACGGGTAAGATGCCACTACCCTCAACCAAGAAAGCAAATTGGAGGCTGATAGGGGCTTAGTATTAAACAGTTCGGGTCTACGCAAGGGAATGCAGTGCACAAAACCGGAGAAGGCCTGTGCCGTACGAGGCCGTGTAGAGAACATCTCCTGGGTCGCGACGGGGTCTACATTGCAACGGAAGTGTTTGGGATTTAGGGTTCAGGTGGTCAAAGTTGGTGCTTGATTGGGTTCAGGGTCGATTCTTTAATTAGAGGGAGTCCTCGCAATGTAAACCCGTGTGAATAAAGCTGCCTGACAATCAAAACCTTCACACCGCAGGATCAAGAATGGCAACCTATACAGTGGGTGGGGTTTGAAAGCCATCGGTCCACATGTCATCTTAGTATCGAGTAGTATTCCGTAGATACCAAAACATTCAGAACAAGTTGGTTACTTGGACCCCCTATGCAATCAACACAGGACCCCGACCGTTACCTTCGGTTAGTAGGGAATGGAAGAATGGTAGTAATAGTAGAAATAATTGTACCCCATTCCTCCATTCCCGACGAACCAAAGGTAAGGACCGTCTGAACCCAGGCGTGGGACCGAAACCTCAAGGGCTCTGCTAAAAACAGAGGCTACGGACGGGGCTTTTCGGGTTTAAGACTACGGTTTGCTTCAGGGCGGCTTTGATTCTGCAGGGCCAAACCCTAGACTCCAAACCGTCAGCCCCTAAAACATACATCAAACCTACACTGACCTAAGCCCTGGTGTTTGCAGACACCCGAAACCCTGCAAGGATTTGGGGTTTCTGCTCCTTGGACAGCGACACCCGTGGGCAGCGAGAACCCAGCGTCGTAGTCCAAAGGCACGATGCCTTGGCTGGGGATTTCGGGGTTCGCCAGTATCCCCTTAGCAATATGGTTTCCCCTTTTCCCGTTTAGGACAATGTTATGAATCAAGGAGATGCCAAAAAGCAGGGTTAAGCCTGTACGGGAACTGACTGAGTCGACTCGAGTCGACTATGATGTTAGTACCCCAGCTCTATTGTTGTAAGCAGGAGCTTGCGCCAATTCAGGCGACTCTGCTGTCTGCACTCCAGCTTCGAGGATGATTCACAAGGTCGAAGGGAGAGCCTGGATTGAGCTCGCGAGAAGTTCCCCGACAGGTCACATTTCACTGGCTAGAGCTGAGTTGTACTTGGAGGTTCAGGTTGCGCAAGTGATTTTTCCAAGCTGTGTCAAAGTCATTGGCCCACCCCCCGATGGCCACGTCTTGTGGCAGCTCAGGGGGGCGTTGAAGTTCGCTGTGAGGGCCGACTTAATTCCAAGCATACCGTGAACACCTTCAGAATGACTCTCCGACCCAGTCATTAACCCAACCCTTGAAAACACTTAGAACCAATTTCGAGTCGAGGCACTACGCTGAAAATTGAAACCCTGGACATCTATTTCGGATCAAGGCACCAGTGTTTACAACCGCCCTCCACAGCGTGTGATATCTCTTCTGCGGCTTTGGCTTGCTGCTGGGCGCATCTTTGTAGGATTTGGGGCTTCCAGGATCCCAGGATTCTACCTCAACCCTCAGGCCTAAACCCTAAATCGGTAGGTCTAAGGCTAGGGTTAACGTTTGGGCTTCATGGTCTCAGGGTACATGGCATCAGGGCATGATGTGCTTCGGGTATGGTCAGGCAGCAGTCAGACCAAAGCCTAGAAACCGGAAGCCCCTAATGCAGATCCCTGATTCATAACTACCCCCCTTCCTACTTCAAGAGGGTTATCCTTTAAGAAACGCGATCAGGGATCTACTTCACTCCGGCGAATCACAAACCTAGTCTCAGAGTCGTCGGAAGCTGATCCGTTGTACGACGGCTTGATTGTTCGACTGGATTGACTCCTGGGCGCAAGCATTACTTAGGTGTTCAAGTGGTGTTCCGATAGGTGTTTATGTAATGCGTGCTTTGGTGTTGAGGATCGATGCATGCGAGGGTCTCAACTGACAGAGCTCCTTTCCTAAACCCATATGACTCTGAACAGGCTTTTGGACTCATAGTCTTGGCTTGTGCTTTGGAAGAGAACCATAACCAACACCCCGCTTCGCCCGACACTAGTTCATGTTCCTCATTTGCTCTAGCCGCTAGCCTTAGCGCAGCAGAGCCCGAAATCGGACGGGCAGGCGCGCCGAACCCCAGGGTTGGGGATCTGAAGGTTCAGGGTTTTAGTGTCCCCAAGAGCTAAGCTCTAAAGCTCTACACCACGAGCCCTAAATCAGCTAGGTTTTTATAGGATTTAGGGAAACCCTAAACCCTATCTCTCTCTCTCTCTCTAAGTCTCTCCCAAGAATTCGATACGTCAAGCCTGAACCCCTTTTGCATCCAGGCATATTGCGACTGCCGGGTACCTCTGAAGCCTGAACCCCTAAACCCTGAAACCTTAAAACCAAACCCGGCTACTCCAAGAACTGCTGCAAGATCTCGCTGTCCATCATGTCTCGCACTCGAAGTAGGATGTAGATCACACCGCCTAAATGACGGGCTCAGGGACTTTTCAAACCAGACCTGGGGTCGATTTCAGGTTCAAGGCTTTGGGTCTGTAGCGGCTTGTTTGTGCCAGCTAGGTCCTTGGATTTAATTGTAATTGAGGCGTCCCCAACCGTTTTGAAGTGTTTGCTACTTTAAGCGTATGGGATTGAAGGATACACTGGTTTAGAGTAGGCAGATACAGTAGACTAGAACATGCGGCATTCAAGGTTGTGGCCGTGGGTTGGGGCCTTTTGGGGCCCGTTTGAAGTCCTTGGGCCGTTTGGGTTTGGGGCTTTGTCTGCCTTGACTTTCGGATGGGCCCCCAGCATCGTGCAGTCATCACTGGTATGAACTGGTTTCGGAGAGGATGCGAGGCTTTTGTGATGCGGAGAATCGGTTTCGTGTGGTCTATGTCTCTTGAGCCAAGAGCGTTTAGACATGCTTGCAGTCTCGGTTTCGCGGCTTTCGGGCAAAACACGAACTGCTACGGGCCCATCTAGGCGACTTCGGACTACGTTTTGGGTATCGTTCGGGTATCGTTTTGTCCAACTTGGGCACGTCGTCTAATTTCCCAAATGTACTTTCCATCCCGAAAGCCTCGACACCCTCAACCTGCCGAAATCCTCTCTTTGAAACGACGCAGGGTTGTAATGGCAACATTGGTGTTTTTGGGGCATGGTCTTTAGGGCGTCCTCTATCGTGTCACAGGTCACCGCTGGCATTTATCTTCGACAACCCTTTGTAGCCAAACCAACACACGATAATCTTGATGCATGAGACTTAGGGATTGGGGGTTTGGGTTTGCGGCTTCGGGCTTGGGTTTAGGGCTTCGCATGGAGACATTAAAGGGTTTAAGGATTTCACAGTGGCAGGTGCAAATAATCACATACTACCCAAAACACAAACCTGCAGTACTGATCGTAGTGATTGTCTAATACAGTCCTAGACGCCAAACGGAGAAAGTGACTTAAGGGAGTACAGTACTACTATCCCAAACCCCAGTAACTAATTGTTGAACCCTGAATCCCTGCGATTTGGGCTGAGTTTGGGAGGATTGAAATGTTAGGCTGTGTGGATGGGGCCTTCTTCCGGGCCTTCTCTGACCGATTTAAGGAAGGGGTGCGGGAGCTTAAGGGTTTAAGCTGCGCGTGCCAGTAGTCGTGTAGAACGGTGGATAAGCTCATGGCGACGAAAAAGAACGAGGGGAGTAGAAGGGCTTCTTGGGACTGCGGTCAAGCTTCTAGTTCAGGGCTTTAGGGGAGCAAGATTTGGAGCTGTTGCAAGACTTATGGGTCACCCTGCTAAACCCTAAAACCTGAAGCCTAAAACCTAGAGCTCAGCCAACTCGTCGGGAACTTTGACATCCCAAGCCGCGCTTGCACTAAAGCTTCGCATCGTGGGCCCCTGCCTCTTCCTTAGCTGTTTCTGGACTCCGGGTTGGGTTTTGAACCTTCCTCAAAAAGCATCTAAAAGCCCAGTTGCGTCCGCCGCCTGCACGGCCGCGGCAAGGGCCTTTCCCTGGAAAAAACAACAGAGTGCACAAAGTGCACACCATGCCATCAGTTCCTGATGGAGAGCGCACCTTTGAATTTTGATTCGCGGTCGTGCCTGGCAAAAGCAAAAGCTGCGGCCGAAGCACAATCCAGCCAGCACGGGACAGGAGGCATTTCCAGTACTACTGTTGTGCTACGATGACGCTGCTGTTGTTGTTGCTGCTGCTGCTGTTGTTGTTGTTGTTGCTGTTGCTGTTGCTGTCGCTGTCGCTGTCGCTGTTGCTGTTGCCGCTGCTGTTGCTGTTGCTGTTGCTGTTGCTGTTGCTGTTGCTGTTGTTGTTGCTGCTGTTGCTGCTGCTGCTGCTGTTGCTGCTGTTGCTGCTGTTGCTGCTGTTGCTGCTGTTGCTGCTGTTGCTGCTGCTGTTGCTGCTGGTGCTGGTGCTGGTGCTGGTGCTGGTGCTGGTGCTGGTGCTGGTGCTGGTGCTGTTGCTGTTGCTGTTGCTGTTGCTGTTGCTGTTGCTGTTGCTGTTGCTGTTGCTGTTGCTGTTGCTGTTGCTGTTGCTGCTGTTGTTGCTGTTGCTGTTGCTGTTGTTGTCACTGATGTTGTTGCTGTTGCTGTTGCTGTTGTTGTCGCTGTTGTTGTTGCTCTTCATGCCAAGCACGAGGGTAGCAAGGCAGCCATATGTGTGAAAACACTCGCAGCCAATTTAGGCCGGAGTGTAAAGAGAAGGGAGCTAAACTCTACAGGGGGGTTCCCAAGTCCCCCCGCCACTCCGCCATAGCGAAAAAATCCTGCCATTGACAGTCTGATCGCGAGAGTGCCCATCAGTGAGTGCGTGGTTGTCACCTTCTACTTCGCTCTTCGCGCGGCTATGTCTTCTACCGACCCTCCTTCCCGACCATCAGCTGCGGATGCTATTGCCAGACTGGAACCGGAGGAAGGTCCACCTGCGAAAGTTCCCAAGCTAGAAGACACGATGGCTAAGATGCGCCTACAGCACATGATGATGATGATGATGAAAATGTTTCAAGAATCAAAGCAGAGTATGATACAGATGATGGCGGTTGCAAAGCAAGCAGCAGCATCTACCAGCGAACTTGCCAAAATCATTACCAATCAACAATCCAACCAGCAAGCCATACAGCAGCAACCACAACCACAGCATCACCAGTGCCCAACAGTGGTATTTACTGAAGCTTGGTCGTCAGCAGCTGCTAGTGTGGTCGAGGGGGCAGCTACACAAGCTGCCAGCAATGCAGTCAGGATGATGAGAGCAACGAATCCAAAACTACCAGATGCTATCGTACAGTGTATTGACAAAACTTCCCTGTTGTTCATGAAGGATGTGCGAAAGTATGCCCGCAGTGCCAAAAGCTATGACGATGCCCGCGAGAAGTACACCATCATGTCCGAGGACACGCAGTTTCAGCGATACCCACCTGGCAGCCGTCCATTTGCATCGTCTACCACATTTGGGGAGTTGGATGAAAACTGGACGGAAACCCGGGGAGGTAACGCCGACATTAAGGTGACTATTCCATCAGGTACGTCGCCGCGATGCCATGCGTATCGTACACCACAGCATGACACGCCTCATCAGAAGCATCGAGCTGGAAGCACTGCAAACACACAGAGATACAATGGTCACCTTTGCCAACAAGGACACCTTGCGTGCCAAGTGCATTGCAGCCATTGACGAGGTAGTCGCAAAGGATGCAGATGCACGAAACCTCGCCATCGACTCACCTGATCGCCTTACTGTGGATCCTGTTCTGGTTAATAGTAAGGTTGATGACAAATACAACCAGGTGGTCAAGAAGGTCATCGAGGAAATCAGCAAAGCAGAGGAAAAGACAGACAAGGACAGGTTGAAGGAGGAAAAAAACAAGAAGGAGTTCTCGCAGCAAAGCCCGGAAAACATCCTCAAGAACCTCGTTAGCCATCTTGTCTCCGAGGAGGTCTCGAAGCATCAGGCTCACGACGATGAGGCTATGGAAGTCCTGGACGGTGTCGAGGAAGTCATCACTAAGGAGGAGCAGAATTTCAATCAGCACGATGCCGTCACTCAGCTTGTCGAAGTTTTTCGAGGCAGTGGAAAAGGCAAAGGCCAAGGAGCAAGAACCACCAGCAATGGCAAAAATACAAAAAACGGCCAATCCCCGAGGGCGGCCCCGGGGCAGCACGCGCCACATGCCACCAGCAGCATCGGCAACGGAAAGGGCTGGTGGGAAAATGAATACCACAAGCATACAAAAACACATCCACGGCACCAGCAAGCACCAGAACAAAGGAAAATCCAAAGGGAAGTCCAAGCACCAAGGCAAAGGAAAGAAAGGCAAACACGGCAAGAAAGGAGGACACAAAGGCAAGCAGTATGGAGGCCGGAGGTGAGAAGAGCTAGAATGCAGCTAGAATGCAGCACAACTGGAATCACCGGCATGCTAGGCGACTCTTGCGGATGATGAGGGGGAGAGCTCAGCCAACTCGTCGGAAACTTTGACATCCCAAGCCGTGCTTGCAGTAAAGCTTCGCATCGTGGGCCCCTGCCTCTTCCTTAGCTGTTTCTGGGCTCCGGGTTGGGTTTTGAACCTTCCTCTAAAAGCATCTAAAAGCCCAGTTGCGTCCGCCGCCTGCACGGCCGCGGCAAGGGCCTTTCCCTGGGAAAAACAACAGAGTGCACAAAGTGCACACCATGCCATCAGTTCCTGATGGAGAGCGCACCTTTGAATTTTGATTCGCGGTCGTGCCTGGCAAAAGCAAAAGCTGCGGCCGAAGCACAGTACTAGTGTTGTACTACGATGAAGCACAAACCAGACACCACCCAGAAGAGGCATTTCCAGTACCAGTGTTGTACTACTATGAAGCACGATCCAGCCAGCAGCCCTCAACCTGAGATCCAAAGCCCCAAGGCAGACGAGGCACAGTCTTCCTGCACGCCAGCCTGGGACTGGGGAGCTGACGCGACTCTTGAATCTGCTCCCAAGGTCCCGCCTCCTTCAAGCTGTTAGCAGAAAGCAGAATCACCTGAGCAAAAGAAAAGAATGGCTTGCGGCTTGCACCCGGGTGAGATGCTGCACAGGGCATGAACGGAATACTGGAAGCTTGGAGAGAGAAACTCGCTTTGTCAAAGCACGTTTCAGTGCAGACACACACTTCGTGACACGATACGACCTTCTAGTTCCTACGTGGAGGCTGCGCGAGCAGCTGCAGCAACCCTGCCGAGTTGCGGTGCGGGCTGAAATCAGAAGAAAAGTTGAATGAGGTGATGTCTACAACAGACTCACTTGTGCACGCCTGCGAACAGCACATGACAAGACACGGATCCGGATGACGAGGAGGAGGGGCAGGAACGACAAGAACCAACACGACGGCAACAACAAAGCAAATGACAACAGCAACAAACATCGGCATCAAAAACAACGCACACAACTCCAGTTGCACCCAGCCTGATGGCCCTATTCTTATACAGTGTGAGGACAAAACAACTTTAGCAGAACACTAGAACAATTGACCGAGGAACCCCGCGACTGCTCATCAGCCATGCAATGTCGGTGATCTTGTCAAGCCTCAGCTTGCGATCTGCCCATATGGGCTTGCAGAAACTCAAAAAGAGGCTATCCTCTGGGGTACAAATCCGGCGTCTTGCGCCAACACTTGCCGGCTGAGTCTCAGGAAATAACTGTGCCGCAACAATATTAAATAACCTTTAGCCAGAGAACCGCCCACCAGCCGGAGCTCCGTAACGTGAAGATCGACCCTGAGTACTCGGATCCTTCTAGCTCCACAAATCCCTGCCGTCCACGGCGCGCGCCACGGCGCCGGAACACAGCCTGTGCAGCCCTCCGCAGCTGCGCGACACTGGTGCCCTGTCGGCTAAGTATCGATCTTTCATTGTATGAAGCTGTGCTCGTGCCGCTTCTGACCCTGCTTGTGTTTTCACAACATTACAGTTCTACCGGACCTACCGTTGTCGCTATGAAGACCATGATTCTGATCGAAAAACAGTGACGCGGCTGACCCACCATCGAACTGAAAGCTGAAGCTCGTGCTGGAACAGTTGCTCAAGGATTCGATGCAGGGTTCAGGAGTCTGGCATAGGTACTGCACAGTTGCTGCAGCTCTGTGTGACGATAAAGAAGCTTCGTTGTGCTAAGCATTCCTGGTAGCCTGAGATGTTTGGTGAGGTAGCGGTCGTGGTTGTGGTTTGCACGTAAAATTTGAGACATGTTGGGAGTCGGTTCAACAAACACATCTCCCAGCCTCGGCATTTTTGCAGAGCTCGACCCGCTCTCCGCTGACCAAAGCCACAGTGACTCCGCGGACCACAACTCATTGCTACACGTAGCTGCATTACTCGGCATCGTCACGAGTATTGCAGCTACGTGTAGCAATGAGTTGTGGTCCGCGTTAGGCACCCAGCCAACCATGACCCTTGTAGTGTGGACCAATCTAAAGGGGAAAACCGAAATCCTGCAACGCTTCATTCGAAGAAGGCCTAAGTGTCTCATGGCGTGCATGACCACAGCTCATGCTACAGGACACAGGAAGCGATCCCAGTGCGAGTTGAGAAGGCGATGGATCTTCTGTGTAAGTCTTGGCTTTGCTTCGGCTCCTCGTGCTTTCAAGTGCTTCGAAGCCCTGCATGCACGAAGAGTTAAGGAAAAATCGCCGCGAGCAACGATTACGATCCCGAGAGCAACAAGCACTCGTGACATCTAGTCCACGTCTCGTGACATACGACCTTTCAAATCCATTCGCCGACTGCATTCCTATCATTCCTTGCGGGCAATTGCTTCCTCCGCTTGAACCAGAGCGGATCAGTCAATGATCAGCCAGAAGGCACAAGCTGCAGAGGAGCATGGCAACTCAAGCGTCAGAAACCTCAAATCCGAGTAGTGGGTCCAGTGAACTGTTCCGAGAAGTCACAGAAGTATGGATAGTTTTCACCCCAGGGAAGTGGGACATAGAGGGCCAAGGACTCCAAAAGCCCTTTCAGCCCTTGCATGTGCAAGATTCGAAAACCCATGCTCATGTCGGAACCCCAGGTCCCAGATCCTGTGTAGCGCTCAGATGGGCTTAGATGCGACAACTCATGCCTGTATCGTAGAACTACCATTGCTGTGGTTGAAACTACATTGCACCATCACAATGGTGTCGATGAGCACTGCACACCCATGATTGCCATCATGGTCAAGTAGCTTGCAATGGACAACTTAAGTAGCTTGAGTTTTCGCGGATCATGATTGTAACTATGTGCATTTGCCCTGTCACTGTCTGTCAAGGTGCCAGCAAGACCCTCGCCGATGGAGAAGTTCACAGCATATGTTTCCAAGGCGGTATCGATAACGTCGGTGTCCAAATGTAGCCTGGACAAGAGTTCGAGGTGTAAGTCGATGATCAAATCAAAACATTGTCTGTGTGTAACATGTCGGTGCATATGAAGAAGGTCACATGCAGTATTTGCCCAACTTCTGAACCCCTGCTAAAAGCTCAACTCAAGCCCTCCATGATGTAGATACTAAAGAAACTTCAAATTTTACAGGAAGTTAGAGTCCCAAGAGTTAACGGCCGAACAGCCATGTACAGTATGTCTGCCTTACCTACAGCTAGGGCACCTCTTACCGCGTGGCATCGCAAGATAGGTTTGCGCAGGTGTAACAACTCAAAAACCCTTGCGAGACTTGCACTGCCACCGGTATGATTATTGTTATTGTTGTTACTACTATTGCTACTACTACTACTACTCCTGCAACTAGTACTAGTACTAGACTACTACTACTACTACTACTACTACTACTACTACTACTACTACTACTACTACTACTACTACGACTACTACGACGACTACGACGACTACTACTACTCCTGCTGCTGCTACTACTACTACTACGACGATTTTGACTGCTGCCATGTCTACTGCTGCTGCTGCTGCTGCTGCTATTCCCGCTCTTGGCGTTTGCTAAGCGTGCCTGCAATTTGTTACAGGGGTCGGCGCGACTGTCGCTGCGATTGACTGCTCCTAGGTTGAACAAGAAGTAATTCTGGGTTGACACAGGCTGCACTGTGTGTGTACGCACGATACCGATGTGCATATGTACAAGCCCCTGTGTTTGCATAGCTGCACTTGCAAAATGTGAGTGTTGGCGACATCTACATATTTGTGGAGCCAGTATCGTTCAGTGTTCAATCAAACGCATTGTAACCGATCTGCTTGTTTTGCAATGTCAGAACATGTTCTCCCCAAGATATTCATGCTGACATACACGCGGCATGTATAGGCCCATCTACTTTAGTACAACGTACATGTATACTGCACAATGAATATGTACATATGAACATACCCAAGTGTGTAGGTATGTATATAGGTTTTTCATGTGTGTGCGTACATAGTTATGCAAAACATATACATATCTATAGAATGTATACCTGTTTATCCAGATATCTATCTGTGTGTGTATAAATATGTGTACATATATACATCCAAACATACATCCGCATCTGTGTGTGTGTGTGTACAACATGGTCATGCACATCTCATGTCTGCCAACTACGAGTTATTCGAGAATCGTCAGCTTTAAACCCGCTCTCTGCTTGAGACCTCAGACCCCGCAAAGCCTTAAACTAGGGCTTAAGGCTTTAGGGTTCAGGGCCTACTCAACCCACACCCGCGACAACAACAACAGCTACGCATGTAATCCCAAATCTGAATTAATTACGCTCCTGAACACAGGCTCTAGAGTCCACTGAATCACCTTGAACCCTCCTAACACTCAGGAAACACCCAAAAGATGCCCCGAAGACTCCAAAGCCCCTGTTGGTTCGGGCGTATACCTTAACTGAGCTTAACTCATACCCTGGGATCCCGCGATCTTTTGCTTGACTGATTGCTTGATGGAGGTGTTATGGAGAATATCGGTACAAAAAAACCTAGAGCTTCAAACATAGGGGCCTAGATAATTGGAATAGAGTTTGGGGAAAAATACTATATGTAGTACAATGCACACCCCCTAGAAATTAAGGCCCCTAAATTAGAGCTTCCATCCGTCGAGCCGCTGTCGCAAACGCTCGCGCTCAGGTTCGGCAAAGAGGAGCACTCGTCCGGCAAGGGCCAGGGCCTTGCACCCGAAACCCTCAACCGGTTCAACTTAAGGTATGTCCGGGCTTCAGCCAGGGGTATCGGCGGTATAAGAAGCTTCCCAAATAGCAAGGTCCTCGAAAAGGCTTCCCTTGGCTCCCAAGCTCCCTTGCAAACACATACAGCAAGTCCACTATGGTATGGGTTTAGGGTTTATAGGGTTATATAGAGGGATGATGGTCAAGGCTCCACTACGTGGCTTTTGCTTCAGTCTTCTAAGACAGGATTATCATCTTCAGCGCTCCTTAGGCTTTGCTTCCCGAACCACACCGCAAATTTTACACCGCATATCCAGATATTTAAACAAACGAACAACCAAATAAACCAACAACAAACAAACTGACAACTAAACAAATAAACAAAACAAAAACTAAAACACATACATAAAGGCATGTGTATTTATAAATAAGTGTATATATATATATGACAAGTATGTAAAATTAAATAAATAAATAAATAAATAGATAAATAGATAAATAAATAAATAAACAAATATATATATATATATATATGTATATATATATATATATATAGATATACAGTTATATAGTGTCGCGATCATGCGGAAGCTGCAGACAGAAACCCAAGAATGAGAGGACGAAGAAGCACGCAAGACTGAGGCGGCGGTCTTCGACTTTGCCTATACGAACAAACGAGTAAGTCATCGCCTACCACGCAGCTTGGCAAATGCACCAACTCGCAACAGTTTCCTAGGGCTTTGCATTGCGACTGCCATTCACCTGCGCAAGTTCTCCGAGACATAAAAGAACAGCGAGCTGATCATCCGACAAAACAAGTAATGACAAAAAACGCTTGCGTTGTTGGCGGCGACAGGATGTTCAATTACGTGTCGTGACTCCTAGCTGTCGGCAATTATCCAGAATTCGTCCAAATCTCCCAGTGGCGCATCAATAATATCTATCAACTATCGGAGATGCACCGTTGTGCTCAAGGTCGGCATACTCACTCTTTGCTATGCCGATCAAGCAGCTCAGCACATTGCGAGCATACTGCGGGTACCAAAACGAGCCAAAGTGCAGACTGTACACACATCAAAGCCGTTAGGCCGGAAGTACATAATCGCAACACAAACCCCCACTGTCCAAACCTTAAACTTCAACCTCGTGAAATCATAAAAAAAAGCGAATGATAAACTACGGCAGACCACCCTGGAACCAGAACAAGTTGAGATTGCGTAATCAAAACCGGAAAGTCAGACCCGAAATCATGCGATCCTTCAGCAAAATACCCTGAAGACGGTAATCATGGGAAGCTTCATTCAGTATCAAAACAGGCTCTCGAAACAGATTAAACACACCGCAACCACGAGGATCCTTCAACAAACTTAGTGCTCGGGACCGCTACACACCCATGTTAAAGCTTTGGGGTTGATCGAAAGTTCTCAACTCAGGTACCTCAAACTCCGATGGGTGTGGCCTGGGGCCGGAGAACTTGAGCCTGTAATCCTGGGCCACCATCGCCCACCTGCTTGTTCTATTTAGAGGTGGAGGTGGTGGCGGAGGGGGGTTGGGGGTTGTGCCGGGATACTGTAACGCTTTGCGATTTGGGCTCTGTTGCGGATTCTGGCGGTTGGGGGGTTCGCGGTTTGGGGCTTGGAGGATCATGGGACTTGCTGCAAACAGGTGGCTTATCTCCCGAATTCGATATCCGAATTTCTGACCCTGCATATAATGCTTCTTTTCACGTGACAAACCATTGCGGCATGCTCGACAAGAATGCGGCATCCCACACGCAGCAGTGACACTCATGGCTCGCACTTGACTTCGCAAATAGAACTGCCAACTTGTCAAAGATCACCTCCCTGACGGCCTCGTGTCATTAACCATCCGGAGACTTCCACGCTTGATACCGTGAGGATGCTGGGTTCTTGCAGAATGCCATGACAATACAATCTGCACTGACGAAGCCATTGGATGTTTGAAGTACTCGCCGACGCGCCACAAATAAACCTCTGTAACCGTTTAAACTGAAAAACTTAATCTGGACACCGGAAGAACCTAATACAAATGCGTGCAAGGTCATTCATGACAATTACAGCACAAGAGACCCCAAGACAATGTTTGATTTGTGAAGGCCCCGCTATCAGTTTCCCGAAGCGCGGCCTCGCTGGGAACAGCACCTTAGCAGCGTCTTGGTTGGAACTCCTTCTTAAGGCTTAAGTTTAGGGTTTAGCGTTTGGTCTGTCTAGGGTTCAGGGTTGAACGGGTTCAGGGGAGGGCTTATGGCTTATGGTCTGGAGTTTAGGGCTCAGGGTTGTTCTAATGAAGCAAGCCATGGCTAGTCAGATTTTCGCATTTAGACGATAAGTCACTGAAACCTTGACGCCTCGACCAGAAGGCTTCGATTCGAAGAACTGCATGCCTAGACGCCTAAACCCTATAAGCTCTAAAGCCTTAAAGCCCGCTTCTAAACTGGACGGTTCCCGAAGTCCTCTCGACAAGGACGACCGAACCTGTAAGGCTTCCGGAACATGACAGGTCAAGTGGCAGCGATTGTCACGCATGCGGGAATGCTTAGCCTTGTAGGGTAAGGTGAAGTAGCTCCCGTCGCTGGTCCTATTGGCTGGACCGCCATGCATCCTCCTAGTACCACAGCCACAAGAACGAACAAACAGTGTTTGTACGCAGCTACATAAACCTGGTTTTTGGGCATAGCTTGAGAGGGTTTGGTCACCACAGGGCGTTTGGAACTTTGGGGCGCCCCTTTGTTTTCGTCCGCCTCGGGTACAATTTGCCGAAATTCGGCGAATCCTGCGGTCCATGCACTTGAAGCCGTTCTCTTCGCGGATTGCAGAAGCGCTATCACTCACTCCAACCATGCCTGAAACTTAGTTTCATGCAGAACAACAGCACTCAACTTCCAAGCGCACAGCTGCTGTAACGTACACTCCCTCCCTGCCTCAACTCGCTTAACCTTGCTTATCAGCAAGCGAATCCGCAATTTTTGTGCCCTGAACAATGAAAGTCTAGTCTAGCTTTCGTGAAACGCCATGTTCTTCCATATGCCGCCCTCAATCTGGACACTCGCAAGTATAGGTCGAAGCAGTTCGATACCTGAAGAGGGTTTACAATTAATTGAGCAGTCCACCATTAACCTGCCCGTCATACGATGTCAAATCTTCAACTTGAACTCCTAACCATGAGTCCCCAGCCCCCAAAAAGCCTACCAAGAACACGATACCACCGATTCTAAACTCCAGAGCCCTTAACCCTCAATACATAACCGTCGATCGGGTGAACCGGGTAAGCTAAAGCAACAATGAAGCTGAGGACAAAGGCTACATAAGAGCATATAAGTAGGATGCAGGGTTTCCCTAAGCATCCGAAACCGTGCAGATGGAGCTCAATGCCCTGAAGCCCTCGCCCTAAGTTCAGCGCAACTTATACCCTGAAACCCGGCAAGCCAACAAGCCGTATTGCCCTGTGACTCGTGTGTCGATCTCTGCTAAGCCGCGGAAGAGGCGGGCAAGTGGAAGCAACTATATATAGGCGTTGTTCAACATCAGGGTCCTTTGTCTGTGCTCGTCATCAGTAACAGTAACCAGACCTAAGACCTAAGCACTAAAACAACATCAAATCCATGGCCCGAGCACGATAAACGCTAAACCATCAACCCAGACCCCAAACCAAAGGAGGCGGGCAAATAAATCAGGGTCTACTGCAACGCTCCAGGATCCCAGTACTCAACAAGTGTATATAAGTGTTGAAGGCTAAGGCGGCTTATTCGGCTTGTTAAAGTACGGCTACCTAGAAGGCTATATATACCAGGATATAATGCGGTTTTATAAGTATGGTAGCCGTGCGAAACACCAGTCTCTAGCCACGAGGTAGGCTCTCGTTGAATGTGGGACCCCTGCAACCGGAAGGGTACTCTCCCAATGGTCCAATGGGTCTTTCTGTAAAAGGTCCTTTAGAACAACCCTCCCACGTCGCGTACTTTCAGCCTATTGGGCTTTCTCGTTTGGTGTTTCACGGGCCCTACTTTAAGGATCACGAGCCTTGGTAGGTAGACATCACTTGGGTTATCATCTCGCTGTTTTGTACGGGAAGTTTGATGTGAAACTTGAGTACTACATTCAAGGCGCATCTAAATGTGTGTAACATGTGGGTACTTGGCCTTCAATTAAGGACTGTTGATGGGAAAGCTCTGAAAGTCGGCTGTGACACTTTAGGGTGGTACTATAGGGGCCTCAATAGTTAGAATAGGGCTTTGGGGCCCATTATACGATGAAGACGTGACGATCACTGAGGATGTCAAGGCTTGGTCCCTGAAGGACAGGGCATTATTCAATCAGGTTATACATTAACCTAGGTCTGCCAAACCCACGTGAACCAAAACCAACACTCCAAACTTCAAACCCTTTGTAAACCCTAACACAGCAAAGCGGACCCTAATACGGAACTTCCCATAACTCCGGGAGAGGCGGCGCCTTAGAGAAGTCCCAGAGGCCTCGAAGCTGAGCCCTGCAGGTACATCTTCGACCAAAACACTCCCTAAAAATGGATGAATGAAACGAAAAGTATGCGCATAGTCAGGTGGATGGGTAAGTAGACAGATAGACACGTAGATAAAGATAGATGGATGGACGGAAAGATAGAAAGATTGGTCGATAAACAGACAGATAGATAGATAGATGGGGAGGACGGGCAGGTAGATAGATAGCTAGATATGGGTAGATGAGCAGAAACCTAGATAGGTAGACAGGAAGATGGGCAGGTAGCTACGAGTAGATAGATAAAAAGATAGGTAGGTAGACATATATAAGAAAGACTGCTTCTGATAGGCTAGATCGGTAGATAGATAGACAAATAGATAGATACATGCGTATGCAGAAGCAAAACTCGTGATGTATGTGGCATTAGGCATGCATATATGTCTGCGAATATTGGTGTGTGTACATGTGTACACAATCACATGCACACTTTACACTTGTATAACATGGAGTACCCACCTTGTAATCATCGTGCGTGTGTTTGTGATTATTGTCCATGCCAGGATTGATGACAGATCTGTGTGACTTCTACATGCGCCTCAAGCAATTTCTCGAAACCCAAAGGGTTTTTTATGGGGCCGAGGTACAGAACTTGATGCAAGATACAGAAAAGAGGAAAGTATATAATTTCAAGAGTCATTACAATCATTATTAGGGAAACTTATTACACTAAACTCTTTAGCCAGAACCGCAGTTCCGGCCTATCACTGCCAAGGGCGTCACGCAGATACCGACTTCATCGGAGCAGCGTTGTGGGAAAATGCTCTCCGGTGACTCACTATCCCCTTCTGTACAGTTTGCGGGGCTTAATACCAGCATCTGAGCTACAGTTACAATCCTACTCTTGAGTCATTGGTTTGGGAATCCACAGGTCCATACGCACGGAAATAGATGTTGAAACTTTGAGCACCTAAATAACACCTACAGTACGAATCAACATTATAAATGCTTGGTACTATACCCCAAGCCCTATGCCCCTCCCCCCTAAAGAAGGTAGTAACAACATTTTTCCAGTTGCCGGGGCCCCGGTGTGAGCGTTTTAGGGCTGACGCTAGCCTTACTGGGCTCGTCTGACGACACACTGCGTGTGGCCCACTCTGGATGGACCCAAACTTCAAAACTACAAAGATCTGCGCGTTGAGCCCGTAAACCCTTAACCTGAAACACGAAAAACCCTAAACCCGAAAAATCACAGTCGATCAAAACCTTGCAACAGTAAGCCAATTGAAATCCGTTCAACTCCCGCTCAACCAGTACCCAAGCCAGCGCCGAAGGCTGCTTAAACACGAAATTTTACAATGCGCAACCCTGAACCCTGCAGACCGTAAAGGCAAAGCCGTAACCCTGAACCTTAAATGCGAAGAGACAAACTCCAAAACCCTCATTCTAGGAGATGCATGCAGGAGCATCGTTGCCTCTGGAACTTCCCCTTTAAAGTGGCAAGGCTACCACCAACTGTGAGGCTTGCATATGGGGCCGACGTTTTCATGTGTTCCAAGACTAGTTGACCTTTGAGAACGGTTGTATATTCTATGATTCTATAAGGATTGCTATAGTACCAGAAGCCCTTTTCAAGTCCATTCGGTCCTTACAGTAAGTCCCACGATACCCCACATGGTAACGATTGTAACAAGGTACATACAGGAACTCGCACAGGGCTTACCTGTAGATCCAAAAGCCGATCTTTCGACGGAACAAGGAAGTCATAAGAACGAAGGGTAAATATGTAGGTAGTGCGGGATTCAGGTGGTGTGTAAGTGTAAGGCTTCATGCCATCATCTCCATAAGTTACGCCGTTTCTGTCGGTCCCCTACACAAGTCCGACAAGTGACGGGCTGCTTGCCCAAAGCCGAAGCCCACTAAACTGAACCAACTCAACTCTAACCCCTAAGCTTCCCAATGTTTGAGCAAGCTCACAGACCTGGTACAACTCTCTTGCCCTTAACTTTAAAGACCTAGATTCCTAGATGCAATGCCGGTGTAGCCGGAGAAAGAAGCATTAAAAACAGAACATGTCGTTGTTTGTGTATGTATGTATGCATGCATGTATGTATGCATATATTTCTTATGCTTTTGTACGAGGGATTGACAAAGCCGTGCTTGCTTCTGGCTTCTGCGCAAATTGCAATGTTTCGAGTTTAGCCTTGTCGTCCTAGAAGCTCCGACGAAACTCGCATTAACCAGCGGCTACTATCTGACCCCATGTTCTCAAACTAATGAGTCGAGCTCAGGACTAAGGGCATTATCGGGGCTTAAGGATATCGGGTTTAAGATTCATGAGGGCTTCGCCACCTTCAGGGCGTCAGGGTTTGGGGTTTTGAATGGGCCGGAAAACTGAACTAATTCATCTTAGTGGGTCGGATCTACGCCGGTTTTTGTTCGTCCACTGGGCTGGAGACTTTACAATCGCATGTATTACGCTTTTGCTGTGCAGAATTTGCGGGTGTAGGTTTGCAAGTGGTAGCGTTGAACCACTCGCTTCCTGGTCAGCCAGGACCCGAAACCACAGAACACATAACTCTCAACCAGCAGCCCACAAACCCTCCAGTGCAATTCGGAGACCTGGAACGAAGACCCAGCTTTTATGGCTTGTATTCTATTTCAACGGTCTCGAGAAAATGCCGGCT